TGCAATATTCATACTGTAAAGGACAATAATCAGACACCTATGAACTTGCATTATTCAAGCTATCGTGATATTTTGCCAGTGAGATGGGATCTCAAAAGCCCAGGTTTTTGAGATTCAACTAATGACTCTACTGACGTACTAATGACATCTAAACCTCTAAATTTGCGGTGTGAGCTGAAGAAGTCAAGAGAGCTACATAACTTAGGATTTCCCTAACCTCACTAAGTAAATGTTCTCAAATCAAATGAGATTCCTATTTTTCCCAGTGAGCAATTATGCTACAGCATTAAAAGTGAATTTCTTTTCGAACATTTTGCATATATTTACCTGGTGTGCTACAAAATGTGTCTGCCTCTACAAATGTCCCATTATTTATGGTGTTCTTTCACCAGTGATGAGGTACTGAAATATACCCTATGAATGGTGACAGAGTTTCAATCAGAGGAAGTGATGTTTTTGAAATATCTGTGATGCAATCCTCCAAACCATAAACTTGTCAACCAAAGACACAGAAACAAGCCTCTGCTTCATCCCTATCTACTCTGACACTGTCAGTAGTTCAACAGGCTTCACAGAGCCCAGCTTTTTATAAATAAAACATAAATGACAAACCGATTTTCTGGTGCTGGTTATTTTTAGTGGATAACACCTCCAGCGGTACAATGCCTTGCTTCATAGCTTCCTGTCTTTTGAAAGTTTTCTTGTACTTCTTGATCCACTCGAACTTGGGTACTTGTGTGGGCAACCTGCACACATCTAATGGATGAACAAGACAGTGACAGCAAGAATAATAGATTAAGAGAAAACAATGTGATATCTTTCACAGCAAAGCATTAACAAAAACAAAGAGACATTCGTGATATAGTGTCCGTTATGTGTTGTTCGTGTGATGCTTCCACTGTGAAAGTAGTGAGCTTGTGGTGACTGTGACCATCCCTAGCAACAGAGACTTCCTTTTAACTAAAGGCTTGTCTAATTTCTATGTCATTGTTCAGACATGATGACGTATGTTTTTGCAATACATCTGTGCAACTTTTCTAATAAACATATGATAGAATTTTATTATATTTTGCTCCTTAAAATGTTCAAAAGTTTTGAAAGAGTTTGTCAAATGCTGGTTGTTGTGTAAACAGATCACAAACAGTTCACCCTACCACTCCATGCCTTGTTGACTTCACAGAGAAAGAGGCGAGAGTGGGACCCAAACGGAAGCCTGAGCTCTAATTCTTCATTCTTGTAGCTCATTCTCACTCTGGTGTCTGCACCTACAGTAAGATCAAAAGTGTGGCAGGGGAAAAACATTGCAAGATTCATTTTCAAGACGGAAGATCAGTCATGTATGATGTCTGAGACTTCAAATAAAGAAAGGCAACTTACCCACAACCACAAGCTGTTCTGGAGAAGAAACTATAGAGAAAGCAGCATGAGAAATATGTCAGTGTGTTTCATACTGTACTTTATTTGCTTTTCAGTTTAGAGGCAATACAAATTTTATTAAAAAGTGCCAGCAAATACAGTTCCTGCAAAAGTATTCATACCTATTGGACCCACCGATTGCAAGACAAACTACTTCCACCAATCGCTCATGGTTTTCAAAGTTTTTGCAACAAAGCAAATCTGAAAAGTGTGATGTGTATTATATTCAGCCCCTTTTACTCTCATATTTCCAATAAAATCCAGTGCAACCAAATCCTTTCAGCAGTCTCCTAATTTGTAAATAGTCTATCTGCGTGTAATGTAATAAATGAGGTTAGTTTGAGGAACATAGTGATCAAACTATGCAAACTATCAAACTATGCAAACTATGCATCAGACACAGAGCTAATACACCAAGAGATAAAGCTGTGAATAAATGTAAAGCAAGGTTGTGTTATAAAACAATACCACAAGTGAAGTTCTACAACTTCACTTAGTGCTGTTAAAGCCACTGTTTGGCAAAAAGAGCAATAATCAAGAGCAGCGGCTGATTTGCTTATGCTGGAGCTAATATTGGACAGTCTGTTGATGGTCACGGAAAATCTATTAGTTGTGCACTCCCCAAATGTAACCTTTATGAAAAGGTGGCAATAATAAATCAACTCTTGAAAGAAAATAAATCCAGCTTAATGTTTTCCACAGGTAATGTATGGGACACACCCAACAAGTGGAAGGACATGTGCTGGTCAAATGACACCAAGACTGAAACATTTTTGCATTATATGCAAACTCTTGTGGAGCGAAGTTAACATCACACGTCACTTTGAATTTATCAGCTCAACAGTGACACATGGTGGTGGCAACATCATGATGTGAGGATGCTTTGATTGGCAGAGTAAAAGTTAAAAGGAAGACTGACAGAGCTAAATGGAATACTTTTGTAAGATACTGAATATTTAATATCAGAAGAAAAAATTACCTTCAACAACAGCAAAGTCGAGCGTGATGGGTATAATGTCTTCAAGTGACACATCATCAGCTGTAATGGCCATTCTCCGATGGGTATAAATAAAAATTCTGCAAATAATTTTACATAATTACAACAAATATTAGAAAAATAACAATGATAGAGTCAGTTTTAATTAAGTTTGTGATTCAGAAGGAAACAAAGATTTAAAAACCAAAAGGCGGGATGAGGTTTTTGTTGCACAAATATAACGAATAATTATTAAGATTAAACGCCTTGTAAAGTTTCCTTAATTTGTTTGAACTTACGCATGTTCTTTTGCACACTCTACCAGTCCGAGAAGTCTGCTTTCTGAGCAATCATCAAGCAAGATATCACATTGTGCAGCATGTTAGAGGTTTAGTTAAGGAAAGTGTAATTCAAATATATTTATTCAACTATTCAGCCAAAAACAGAAAAAAATATGTAATAAAACATTTGAAACATTTACACAGGCAATTCAAGAGGTGTATCCTCACTTTAAATCTATTTCTGTATGCAAATTACTTCATGTTTACATGCTATCAAACCTCCTTAGCCTCTCCCAATAAGAAGAAATCATGAGCTGTTGATACAATGTCGCCATCTAGTGGATGACATGCGCAACTGCAGTTCTAACGAAAAGGCTATTTTGGGGAACTAATTACAGACCAAACCCGTTTTTCCTGCTCAAACTGCGCGAACTGTCCAAGCTGACTCCGGTTCGAAATCACAAACCAAATGATTCAGTTAGTGATAAAAACCCGATCAACTCCCACAGCTTAATATTACAGGCCTCAGCCTGGGTTGTATCTCCAGAATCTGTTCGTCCAGTTTGTGAGTTTGAAGCAGTCGGTCCTTATTTTGAATATTTCGATCATTTAGAAACCATGCACGGCTCAAAGGATACTACAATGCAGTTTTCTTCTTTTCCCAAAGTTTCCTGAATTGCAACGGACTGATCCATGGTATAGAACTGAGATAACTTCGGCAGCACGTTTTTTTTTTTTCTTCTCCAATGTGAATCCGCGAAGGAGTTTCGAGTGACCCAGTTATTCCCCCTCCATGAGGGAATCACCGACCGAATGGGCAGCTGAAAGAGACACGGCCCAGCAGATGCGGTAGCAGCTCAGCGCGGTCCGACATCCCCTTTTTCACTCCTTTACGATCCAGATGTTTTCTCCGCTGCTGTTTCAGCCCGAACCCCAGCGCGCGCACGCTCTCACGCTGCCACGCACTCGTCAGGATCAGTCTTGACGTCACATATGTGGGCTGTCATCAGCACGATCAGAAAGGGTGGACGGATTTGAGGATTGGTTTGAATTAAGCTTCAAGTCAGTGACCCAAATGGCACTAGAGCCTTCAAAGGACACACAACTCGAGAAGGGCAGAGCGGAACTTACGAAATGTTCATGATGGAACATGTGATTTCAAAATGTAGGGGAAGGAAATTGGAAAATAGATGAAACTATAACCCTCACTCTCAAATTACGAGACACTCTGACTTAATAAGAAATTTATTTACAGGAATCTCAATAATGATAATAATAATAATAATAATAATAATAATAATAATAATAATAATAATAATAATAATAATAATAATAATAATAATAATAATAATAGGGAACTTACTAGACTAAACACATTTGATATTTCTATGCTCAAAAGCACTGAAGAAAAGCTATGAGAAAGAAAAATCATCAGCAAGTGTTTTTAAGATTTTATGCATACTGTCTTTTATGTAATGATATATTTTACTAAATATTTTCATCAAGAATTAGAAATTATTGTACTACCAAGTCAAATACCCAGAAGTTGAATCCCATGGAAATTGTTTGTGTGAATATGTACGTGAATGTGGTGCTAAAGCCCTTTGAGCTCCTCTGGACTTGCTAAAGTTTTATACAAATACAGGCTGTTCACCATACCACCAAACATAGTACCGCCACGTTTGACTGTGAGTGTGATGTTATGTTTTTGTGTTACTTTTATGGTAATTATGATATGCAAATCCTCACAAAAACTTTTTTATGTGTCCTGTCAGACCTCAACATTGTGTTTGAGTTATTTTTGATCAGCAATTGTTTTCACCTTGAAACTCACCTGTTGATGTCATTTTTGCCCCTTGTCATTCATACAGTGGAATCGTGAACACAAACTTCATTCAAGGCAGCTGAGGGGTAGGTGCTTTAAATATTGTTCTGGTTTCTTTTGTGACTTGCTAGATAAATTGTGAATTAGTTCTTGAAGTCATTTTGATAGGCTAGCCACTCATCGGAAGGTTCTCCACTTTACCATGTTTGCTCTTGGCAAATGACTCTCACTACTCTCATTACTAATGTTGGTAATGCAGAACCTATATCCAAAAAGCTTTGCAATACTTTTCAGACTAACAGATGACTTTGTGTATTGCGTGTTGTTAAAGATCTTTATTTATGTACCTTATTTTGCATACTTCAAGATACTGTTTTAACAAGCTCTGTTTAAACAGTATCTTGAGTTTATGGATTTAGGATTAATCAATCATAGGATAGCTAATAAAATTTTAGCAAAGGTTAATAATTTAATAGTGTGGAAAATGTCAAATGATTTAGACTTTTGAGATATATAGATTGCATTTATTTCATTTTAAGCACAATCAATGTTATTCTGTACACACAGCTCAAAGAAATTGACACATTTCTGATTTCATTTAGCATTTACATGTCACCATTTGAAAATAAAATAGATTTAATTGGTAATCCCCATATTACATATATTTAAGTCAAAAATCAGAAAACTATAAGACAAAACTTGCTACATATTGTTGCAGCACTTCAAGAAAGAAGTTGTTAAGAATTGTCTTAACAACTTACTATAACAGCCCAACGTTTGAGTTTCATAAAGTGCAAATAAAGTTAAAGCTGTATTATTCCAAAAATAACTTTTCATATCATAAATCATCTGTGGTGTACCTACTTTAGGGTCACTCATTGACCAAAATGTATTTCCCCTTTAAACAGTTGAAGTGTGGCAGTGCAAATATATCAATTCCAATTAATGGACAATATGTAAATGACAGGCTATGGATTATAACAACTAAAAGTCATTACTCATAATTTACTCAAGTATGTCTTTGTTATATAACTTATATTCATATATATGAGATTGAAATGTGAGGATAAGGATTAGGTTGATAGCATGTTCCCCATGGTGGATGCTCTCAATTAAGTTCAAAGCCATGCTTACACAAAAAGGAATGTGAACTGGAAGTGCAATACACAGGACACAAAGTCAACATTGAAGCTGAGGCTTTTTCATAGTTTCAGATTCATACAATTACAGATGAACTCCAACGAGATATGCATATAGAAATGCGAGGACAGCAAATGCATGCTCATTCACTTACAGAAGCAGAGTGATTGCAAGCAGGCAAACCAAGGAAGTAATCAACTCAATATGAAGATAGGGACCTCTTGAGGCAAAAGACGGGACATTCATTGTGCCGTTCAAAATCAGGCAGGAGGTTGTGGTGGCAGTGCAGCACTCCAGGTTACATGGAGGTTTTGTGGTTCCAGTACAGGGAGCATATCCAGTGCAATTGGAGCACCCTGCTTTCCAAACAATGCCGGAGTCAGAGGTCTCTTTTTTCAACTGAAAAAGACAATATAAAAAAGAGTGTCAAATTAAAAATGTAGGTGCTTGAACTTAAACAAGTTTTTAACTCTAAATGTGAAGCCTAGTGAATAAAATTGTGTTAAGCAACATAAAGTTAGTCTATTTTCATTTATGTTTCAGAAATATAAAAGAACAAAAAGATTTAAAGTGGTTTTAAAATCTTAATGCAACCTTTCAATATTCTTGACTTTTTTGTTATATATCATGTCATATGTCATTTTATCTTTTTTTAAATTCTCATGCAGCACTGGATTTCTCTTGCCACAACACTGTGCAATTTAAGTAGCTACAAGAACATCTATAAATCTATCTCTTATTAGAGAAAATATTTTTTCAGATGAGGTAATTATACTGCAAACAGAAAAAAATGTAGTTATTTTAGACTTTTTTACTTTACACCTGCTGTTGAGCGTTGGGTTTCTATCACATACACAAATAAAAGAAAAGCCATAAAAAATCCTTTCACAGATCATACCTGACAGTGTGGGTTTGTGGAAGAACAGGTTTCAAGATCCTTGAATTTTTTATAACAGTCTTCACCAGTGCAGGTGCCCTTGTGACATTTGTTTCCCTGAAGAAAAAAAAAAGAAACACAATACAGAAAACAGGGAGATAAAGCAAATAATAAACTTAAAAATATTAATAAGTAAGGAGAAAAGAAATGCTAAAGTCATTCACAGATTTTGGACTTTACTTTGTTTGCTGTTGTTGAGGTTGTTGTTGTTGTTGTTGGAGCGATTGTTGTTGTGGTTGCAGCTACTAAAATGATGGAAGAAAAGCATACGGTATGTAAAAGCGCAAGATCACACATATAAACAAGTACCTTTAAATATACCTGTAAAGAGAAAGACAAGCAAGACAAGATGAAATATGCAAATGCACTTTCTCTATTTTACCTGTGGTTGTCATCATCATGGGTACAAAAATGTCTTTAATGCATCCAGTGGAATTACAGCAGTTCACAGAACAGTTGGGCTGAGAGGTGTTGTTGCAATCTTCCACACAAGAGGCACTGCAGCTCACATTGTACCACATGTCCATTGATTTCAGCAGCTGATCCATTGCAAAATTACACATACTTTTGTAAAAGTTTATTTTTTCACAATCCTTCTACACTATTAATTTAATTATTTAACTGACTTGATCAGCAGAGTATGACATAATTATTTGCTTCCTTACCTGACATGATTCTCCAGTAGAACAATAAGATTCATTCTGACTGTTGTACTTTGAGTAACAATCAGAGTAATAGCAGGAGAAGGAAGGGCAATTTATCTGTTTTAGGCAGATTGAGTGTTACATGATTAAGGTCAATATAATACAAATAAAAAACATGGTGACTAAATTAGATTTTTAATAACATTGACTTGCCATTTTCATTGTAAAATTTGATGTGGTGTTTTTATTTTCCTCAGTCATATTACCTGAAACAAAGAAACAACATCATGTTTGGGAAATTTTAAAGCAGGTATATTGTAATTGTTCACAATCAGTATATTCTAAGAATTCACTTAAAACTATCAAGTTATCCAGACATCTTCAACAAATTCTGAAGAACTGCAAGAGACATAATCTTTCTTTAATTTAAGCCTTAGACTCTCCTTCTGGTTTTCTGGTATTCATATCTCTCCACCTCTCAACTCATGGTTCCACTTATTCCCAGCATTAAAGATATCCTCATCGTAGATTTGTGGTTGATAACCATTCTCAGACCTTTGGTGCACCACAAAAAGACAACGCAAGAGCTTAACAATAATTTTAGAAAAACTAAAAATCCAATATTTAATGTTTTCAATAATTATATTTGATTGGCTGACAGAAATCCAAGGTGATTCTATTTCTAAAAAGCATTGAAAATTAAAAGGTTGAAGAAATTTGAAATCGTTTTAAAGGTACCCCATTTATTTTATGGGGTAAGTTTGATCCATATAAGGGTTTAACATTTTTAAGTGCAGATCAAGTGTAATGTAGATTGTTTTAAAGTGTAGATAGGGAAATGAGAGGCAAATCAAATCTCAGGATCATTTAGGGCTGCCAGTCAGCTAGTGTGTTATCTTTTTCTTATTTCTTTTTAATCCTGGAATAGAGTAATCATGATGGAGGCTTTATAAGCTGACGCAATCACAAAACTCAAGACCGACTTCACGCCTTCCTCCCAAATTAGAATTTCAAAGCCAATATAGGCCATCAACGTTAAATTTTATATATGAAGTTTCATAATAACATCTTGGACTATGACTGCAACTAGAAAAGATATTACAAAGAATTATGTTGCTTTAGGTTCCATAGAATACTGTGGTTGAAAGTTTAAAAGAATAAAACAGAGAGAATGAGGCACTATGTGCAGGCCTTTTTGGAAGGTCAGTACACTCCATTGCCAATATGATGAAAGGTTCCCAAATTAGATACCAATTGACATCCTGTGGCAGATGGGTAATTTTCGCACCCCAAAACATCAGGTACAAAACAATCAAAACTGTCAGAGATCTGAATGGTCAGAGTGAAATAACTAGCACTCGTCTAAAGTGTGTTGTAACAGACTGGCCGAACAGCTGATGTGCTATCCTAGAAAATACAGTGGATGATTAAAGACCTTCTTACAGCTATTGCACTTCCTCTGACAACATTTTGAAACACCTTAGTATTACTAAAAACAATAATATGACTTTGAGTCTTAGGCTAATCAAGTGGTTTCTCTAAACCCCCCAATGTGTCAGTGCATCACTAGTTCTCAAAAAATCTAAAAGTTAGATGGGATGCAATCCTTTTTGTAAAAACCAGTTGCCAATTGAAAAACATACATCCTTCACAAAAAGATTATAGTCAGAATCTTCCCTAGTTCTATTTCACAATTCTTTGCTATCAAAAGAAGGACTACTTGTGTATTTCATAGAGGTATAAATATTAGTTGAGAAAACAAAGTTGGCATTCTGGTTGTCTACCTGCATTTACCCTGACTTACAACACGTGGGGCATTTGAGATCAGCTAAATACCGTGCCTTCTGAGGTGGGTGAAATTGAATGGGTGCTGGATGATGAGGAACCTCCAGAGGTGCTTGAGGCAGAGTGGGTACTGTGTGATGCTGAACCTCCAGAGGTGGTAGAAGGAGAGTGGGTGCTGGATGATGAGGAACCTCCAGAGGTGCTTGAGGCAGAGTGGGTACTGTATGATGCTGAACCTCCAGAGGTGGTAGAAGGAGAGTGGGTGCTGGATGATGAGGAACCTCCGGAGGTGCTTGAGGCAGAGTAGGTGCTTGGGCCTCCAGAGGTGGTTAATGTAGAGTGGGTGTTTTGGGACACTGAATCTGAATTGGTTGTAGGAGACATTACAGTACCTCTATAAGTGGTGGACATGGTGATCTGAGTAGTGGTAGCTGCTGAACTGCTACTAGTCATATCAGCAGCCTGGGTAGTATTTGAGGTCATTGTTGCCATGGTCATGGTGAAGTTTGCTGCAGAGGTGGTGGTATTCATGGCGGAGTTTGTCATCATTATTGCTGGGGCAGTAGTGGAAGAAGTTGTGCTCATGTCTTGTCCAGACACAAATACTGAAGGCAGCAGAAATCCTGATAGGAGGAGGAATACAATACCTGCACAAACAGACATTATGGGAAAGATACCAGATATAAAGTTTACTGCAGAGTTACAGATATATGTCTTGGAAGATCATAAAGCCCAGCCAGTAGAGCTTCGCAATAATAGTATAGTGCATTTTTAAGGACATTAAGCATTGTGGTTGCAAACTATTGACTGTTTGCTAGTAATTACCTCCCTACAGGTGAGGTACTGTATTGTATGACCCCAACTTATTAAGGAATCTACTGGTAAAATTGATTTCAAAAACAACTATTGCAAGAACATACATCAGTGTCCGCTGGACGATTAATGATTAAATCTAATTTATTATTTCAATCTCCATATTCAAAAATGGCTTGAATTTGGAGCCATTGTGCTATCCAATTAGTACTGTACTAATTGGATGAAAAATGTCTGGTAAAAAATTTGTGGTTTTTACTTATTTGAAAGTTAACTAAAATGATTAAAAAAAATGTCTTTTTCAAGCTAGCAAACTGGCTTTAAGCCAGGGCAATAGTTTTGAAGTCTTCCCCTTTAACATCAGAAGAGCTGCTGACATTAAGTGTCAATCTGTTTAATTTGGCTTATCTGACTTTTGCTTGGAATTTCACATATGGTATTTTTGTAAAATATTTTATCATTTTTTTTTACTTGCATTTAACTTTATCTTTTTTTTTTTACTTGCATTTAACTTTTGTGTTCACATTTATGCTGCCTGCAGGAATGGTTTTAATAATTAATAATAATTTCATAAATAATGCAGTAATAACTTGGAAAGGATTACTTGTTTATATCTCCATGATGTGAATTTTTTTTCTATGATTATATGTCATTTAAAATTACAGAAAAAACTAATCAGTAAGAATAAATGTACTTTTGCCTGACTACTAATTTGATAAGACACACCAAATGGAGACTTTAATAATGTAACAAAGTTCAAAATTTTAACGCAACTATTCATATAATTTTTCATCCACATGAATGAAAAAGCTATTTTTTTATTTGCACTTTGGGGTTTTTGTTCATGACATTTTCATTTAATGTTAACAAACAGAATCTATTTAAAAATGTCAGACTGATCCAGAGTCAAATTCAGAGTGAGCATTTAATTTTCAAGATATTGTTTTACTTCTCATTAGGGGTCAGAAGAAAATTATGAAGGGCTGTCAAAGTCCAAAGGAACACTCTTGTAGCGTTTTAAAAAACACCTGGATGTATCAGGCACAGCTTTTCCACAAAGAAAATTGTGAATGAATTCAACTGTCAGGGCCTTCAACTCAGTGATTAAAGCTTCATCACTAAAGAAAAAGACAATTGAAGCAAAGATTACTACATAGAAAATATAAGAAATAGAATGGACATCTGCATTCAGGTGCACCCTGCCTCTCCCCTGGAACCTCAGTTGGAGATAGGCATCAGCACCTCTCCTGACCCCATTAGGGGCAAAGGTCTTAGAAAATGGATGGAGATGGATGGATGGATGGATGGATGGATGGATGGATGGATGGATGGATGGATGGGTGGATGGGTGGATGGATGGATGGATGGATGGATGGATGGATGGATGGATGGATGGATGGATGGATGGATGGATGGATGGATGGATGGATGGATGGATGGATGGATGGATGGATGGATGGCAGATTCAGAGAATGGGACAGGATAATTTTTTAGGATTTGGTGCACAATTTGTTTTCTTACTCATATTCCACGATATTATTTTCCAAATTATTTTAATATCTTTTTTCTTTTTTTTTTTTTTTTGTCTTTTTGAGAATAAAATAAAAATTTAGTTCTGTGCTTACCCTACACTTTTCAGAATTTAAAAATTAGTAAGTTATTTGAACCACAAGAATTACCATGTTTATAAATCTCAACAGAAGTTTTAAATTTATCATACCTGTGTCCTTTTTAAAAACGACTGAGGCCATTATGCTACTGGAAGAAACGGAGATAGTTCTGTGCCCAACCTACAAAAACAAAAATAAAATAGCATAGAAATAACCTTTATTGTCCAACAGAGGGAAAATTCAGATGTAGCATGAAATAAATAAAACTGAACTTCCACAATAAAACCAAAGTAATTTGTTTGTTCTGCTTTGAAAGTCAACAAACTTCATGACAAACGATACCTGTCTGGCAGCAAAATAAACTAAGCACTAATGAACAGATAAAAGGTCGATGTGACAGACAGCAATGCAATTTCAATTTAGATTCTTTACCAATGATAATAGGTTTCTGAATAATAACCATACTCATTCATTGTAACCCACCTGCCCAGTTCTTTTGATGTGAGATCTTCTCATTTTACAATCCTCTCACTGTTCTGAGGAAAAGTGAGCTCATAATTGTTTGGTGGAGCCGGTCACAGAGCAAGAAACTTCTACCTTTACATCTGAAATTGTTACTTTAAAAATATATATTTTTAAAGTTTGTTTTAGTTATTGCTATCTGTCTACATCGTCTACTGCTGTCTTTTTGGCCAGGTCACTTCATGAAAGATGTCTTTGTCTCAATGTCTGCGATTCTACTAGATAAAGATTTAGTAGAAGAAAAAAACTGCTTCACTGATGTCTTTTTAAAGATTAATTAAAAATTAAGTCCATAGAGAAACATCTGTGAACTTCCCACTCCTCCCATAAACACAATGCAAACTCAAAATGCAGCAAATGCTGTAAAGTATGAGCCTGCTTCCTCTATGAAGAAACGTCTGCAAATATTAGTTCAGCATTGAGTCACGCAATTACACCTCAAGTGTCTTGGTTTGCGGCAGTTTACCATTGAGCACAATTAAAATGTGTTTGTTCCCTGATCAGTCCCATTGGGAGATCTGCTATAGTGGCATGACTTGTTTTGTTCCTTTCTTCCCTGGATCCCAGCTTGAGCTCCTGTGGGTGCTACACCCTGGAAACTGATGACAACATTGGTCACTTCAGCTTCCATCTCAACAAGGAATCCCAAAATGTTGTATTTGTAAGGAGAGTTCAACCTTGACTTTTTTAAACAGTTGTGAAAGTGGGCGTTTTTCAATAAAAGTTGAGAGTATATGTTACATTTAAAGAAGTCTCTTCTGTAACCTGCTGAGAATGTTACAGAGAAACAAATAAAACTAAAAAAAGGTTTTATGTTTTAGTGATGCAGCTTCAAAGGTAGGGTGGTTGAGTTCAAGATAAAATGCATAAGATCTAACTATGACTTTTGGGCATGTCCTTGAAATTACATAACTTTAAAAATAATAATTGTTTTAAAGGAAAGACAACATACATCATAGACATTTGTGAAGGCAGAGCATACTTTGGGATCTTTTAAAAATAAAGAATGTTAATATAAAAGACAAAAGCACTGATATGTTCACACATAAGAAACATATTACTACTGAAATGTTTACTTGACAAAAATATAGAAGACAACATATGCTCTCCACATACCTACTTTTCCAGTTACATGCTGTTTTTCCCAACCTGTACTTTACTATTTTTCTTTTTTCTTCGACTTTGGAGCCTTGGTTAGTCAAAAACAAATGAATAAAATCCACTTACCTGTGATGCACTCCGCATGCCTTTATCTCAACTTAGGTTGAAGTAAATAAGCTTTTTCTCTATCTGGAGTTCCTTTTCTTTGTTGCTCTCTGTTACCTCCTCCTCCCCGAGTTTGCTTCCTCCTGACTCCACTGCAGCAAGTGGAAACTCTCACCTGCACCATGTAGGAGGAGGGGACTGGAGGCACCCTGCCGTTGCTGGGTGGGTCTTAAAATTGTGTGGTAATGAGTACACGTAAGCACTTTCTGGAGCGGAAGTGGGGATTTCCAAAGCGCACAGAACTGTAGATGAAAATTCTTTAATGTCTGGTTATAGTTCTGATCAAGCCCCAAATGTGGTCAATCCTAGAGATGACTTTAAATGCCTCTTTTAAGCACTTATTCAGAGCAAAGGCATCAAATGAATTCTTTACAAAGCAAGAATTAAATTCTATCTCTTCCCAAAATGCCACTTCATCCCAGTTTTGTGAGCATAATCCCCAGAAAAGAAGATAGCATTACAGTTGTTTGAAGTGTTAGGTTCCTAAGTATACTCTGGAGTCATCAGGCTAGCAATTACAGTTTTATAAAAAAAAACAAAAAAAACAAAACAAAACAAGCCCCCTTTCCCCCAAAAAATAAAACAGTGAATAAGGCCTTCGAAAAGTATATAAGAGTAAAGGTGAGATTTCAGAGCCCTGCAGTGTGATTGTATAGGGAGTCTTCTGGTTTCTGCTGAACACAATGTGAAATCAGATCCCCTCTTTCTCTCCGAACCATAAAGCCCCTCCACACAACAAATACCTCTTTGTGGCCTAAAGAACATAGAATTCTTGGGCACAACACTAAAAGAGCTTCTCCACTCCAGATGACAGAACTGCTTCCACCTTTCATCAAAACACGACATGTGTTTTGATGAAACACATGTCGTGTTTCACAAACATCAAGACTGTTAATTTAATGTAAAATTTGAACCCTGTCAGAACTTCTATTATAGTTTTTCAAGTTTTTGTGGCACTTTGATGCATTTATCAATTGCATCAAAATTTTGTTTTGTTTATTGGTTTATTTTGTACTTATTCACATTTATATTCACACACCACACAGCACATATTTATATAGCCATTTGTTTGAAAAGGAGGTAAGCAGAAGTAAAAATGTATTTGATTCTCCCCTCTTCTTATGTATCTTACTTTACACACTATTTCTAATTTAAAGGAAGACCATACTAACAAGAAAAAAAAAACAATAAAAAGACAGAACACTATTTCTTTCACAAGAGACATAAGATGCTTAATTTCTTTCAACCACTATTAAATTGGCTGCATGCATATTAGAGGCTTAACATTGAGTGGATTTGAAAATTAAAATTCAAACTTACACACACAAATCTTGTCTGTGAAGTTCACAAATCATAAAAACCTCAAAATTACACTCTAAAATGTGTTGAGTCATTTCCTTTTACCAAAATTCTGATTTTATGCTTTTGGAATAAAATTTGAGATAGGGAACTCCACTTGTTTTGAAACTCACTAACAGTGAGATAGGCAATAATTATATTGTTTGTGTGTTCCATTGACATGGAGGGTGTTTAAAGAAATTCTTGGAGTTGATAGAGAAAAACAATTATTGAAACTTTCTAAATCTCCCCTTACATGTTTTGGTTCCCACACAAATTCACAGTTGTGTGCAATTAAAAGAAATCTAAGCACATTATTAACCTGAGCAGTGGTAACCAAAGATCTCTGAAATAACGTGAGCTGCAAAGCAACAAAGGATCCCAAGGAAACTTCTAGAACTTGTAATGAAGTACTTAATGTCAATGTTCAAAAATCCATTGCCAGAAGGTGAACAACAGGAACTATGGTGGTGGGTGTGACAGGGCTCTGTTTTCATTTTTCTAAAAACATGAGAGTCACGTACGCTTCATTAATTACACATTGCTTGAAGCAGGTTGGAAATCTTTTTGTTTTCATACTGCCTTAAGTCTTTGTAGCTGAGATCTAACAAGACGTTTGAAGCATTTCGCAGAGACTTTGGTTTATATTGACATGTTTACCTGACATGGACGCTGCTTATTTGTCTGATGCACATTCATTATGTAAATCTCCTGTTTGATCATACTCCAAATGTATATACATGCTAACATTAATATATTAACTACATGTAATTATAAACAGCCAAGATGGATTTTTCAGTACCAAAGAGTAAATATTATGATATGATTTGCATAGATAAAGTTTGTCTGAGATTATTCTGTCTAAAGACAGAAGCATTTCTCTCTCCTTCATCGTGTCTGCGATAAGCTGATTAAAACCCGTTATTGTCTGCTTTCAAAACTATGAAAGGAGCTTTGCTGTTTGCTTATATGTTCAGTTTGTGAGATTGATTATAAGCATACATGAGGACATGACCCACAATTTGAGATGAGTGCTTTTCTTTGTCTCTGAATGAATACCTAAATTGAATAAGGCTTAAAATTATACACCTATTCTTCTCCAACAATTACCATGCATACATGGCCAGTTGACTCGAATTTCACCTCAATGCCAAGCTTTTAGTTTGAAGCCGAAGGCACCTGCATTGTCAAAGATGGAAAAAAACATTTCCTGTTTTATTTGAAAAGAATGAACGCAGTACTTTAAACTGAACAAACATATATGAATGACCCTGCTTATATCGGAAAATAATCAAATTTGAAAATCAATCTAGTAAAATGTGTTATGCAAACCAATAATGAATGATAAACAAAAAAGAAGCTTAGTCTGAGCTGTAAAATATTGTATACCATAGATACAGGTGCTTTATTCAATTAAATGTTGAAAAATTACTTCAGAATTTCCACTGAAAAGTGAAAGTTTTCTTTGGTAAATAATAGATTTATTGTGGACATCAGCATATATTTCAACCATTTATTTATGCTAACTAAGATAAGAAAGGCTTGCAGCTAGTAAAAAAAAACAAATTTCTAAGACAACTTAATTATGAAGGGCAAAAAAATTCTTATGCAACATGTAATCATAGCAAAGACTGCTAACTTAACAGCTGTCCAACATATGGTCATTGGCACCCTTCATATGTTGGATAAGGTACAAAAAAATCTCTGCTAAAGCAACTAAATGTTCACAGAGTGATTTATTTTATAAAAATACATCAATCCACAAATTACTGCACTGACTCTCTGCTTATTGATACTCTATAACAACAGCTTAGTTGTGCTGAGAATGCACAAATAATTTTTTACAAGAAGGAATTTTGCTTGTACACTCCTGAAATATCAATTCACTTCCAGAACTTAACAACATAACCTACTTGACTATAAATACTGTTTAGTTATTCTATAAGTAATACAGTTATCATATCAAAATGACTGACACAGAGAACTGTGATGATCTGATTTGATGTTGTTCACCCTCCTTTCTCATTTCATTTATGAAAGTATGTTGTAGTTTTATTGTTTCCTGTCAATAAAGAACATTTATGATAATTAAGTTAACTAACTAAAACAACTCAGTTTGGAGGTAATCTAGTAAATGAGAAGTCTTCACAATTTGAAATTTAGAATATACTGGTCAACAATGTGTCAATATTTGTAGAGTAGACTTCACATTGCTTAATGTTGTAGCTCTGAAATTCCCTCCACAAAAATAGTCTGTGCATTGAGTTGCTCTGCATGCCAAAGAACAGAGCGGATGTACATGGACACTGTTTGCACCGGAGGGTTTTCTCTCACTGTTTATATACACTATTAGGCTCAGCAGACCAAATTAAGAAGCCAGGCTGCAACCGGACTGCGTAATTGCATGACTAAGAAGATTAGGTGAGATTTACCTACCCAGCAGTCGTCAAGTGCAGTTCATGCAAAGCTGGTGCATAGCAACAGGTCAGTGAGCCTTATGCACCACATTAATGTTTATCGGAAACCTGAATAGAAGCTTATTGATTAGAAATGGAAGATATTATCTACATGTGACCTCACTTTGGATTCTTTTTTGAATATACAGATGAACCACTGAAAAGGGTGAGTGTTGTGTACATTTTGAAATGGCACATTTGTAAGCACTGTAGAGTATAGCATGCTGTGACAGATCAACTAACCTACTTTGTTTAGTATAATATTCTATAGTTACAAACTTCTTAAACAGGGTACACTTTATTTCCCCTAGGAATTTTGTTTGGCAAACAAAATAAGTACAAGCAGTTGATTTGTTTGTTATCTGATTAGAACCGAATGATGTGAGTGGAAAAAATGACAGCATACACCCTACAGACATTCTTTACATGGACATACAAGGGGATACTCTGTACATGCCGGTTTCTGTGGGTGAGTTGCTGTGCAGATCAATTGGTAGTTTATAATGATATATTTTGACAGTACTTGTATAATGCATGGTACTCATTTGCTCTGCAGATCTGTCCATACAATGCAATCAAATTCTTACCAAGGGAAACACACATCACAGAGGAGAAAAGCAGGCAGGTGACACGACATGTGGGTAAGGATTTGATGAGGTAAAATACTTTCAACTGACACACAAGAACAAGTCCTCACTGTTAACGTTATTTTATTTGATAATGCCACCAGCATTTGAATTCCATGTTAAAAGCTGTCTATTTTTAAAAAATAGCAAGGTAACATTAAAATTCCAATATTTTCTTTAGTGTGCTTTATTCTTTTTGAAAGTTACTGCAAAATAGTGTTTGATCAGATCATCTTGTCATCTGTCAGACTCATGGAACTACATTTTATTATCTGTTGTCATATAATAGCTCATGAAAGCAAGGTGACTGCAGCCATCCCAGGAAGCCCCGACCGCGTTAACGCACTCCACAAACGAGTCACCAAAACAGAGAGAGAGATCTTGTCGATCAAGACCAGGATCGCCTGTGAGAGAGCATCATGGGAAAAAAGATTTTCAGAACTGCAAAGACAACAGGAGGAACTGCGTAATCAGGTGTGCTTGCTCAAATGTTTGCAGGGGTTAAGTTTGTGGCGGTGATGCTGATTATGATTTTCCTCAGGTTTTCTCTGAGGCTGAGATACTACTTAATGTGGGAACTTGTGAGGAGCAGGGAGACAATGGAGATGATTTGGATGAGCAGTCAAGTAAATAAGAGCATTCTATTTAAAGCAACAGAGCAATTGAGACAATGTTAGTGGGAAATGACACCGACAGCTATCTCTGATGAGCAGGTGGTTTCTGTCAACACAGAAGACCCAAAGTGTCATCAAGAAGTGGCAGCCATTCATGCAGTTTATCAGGGAGCCAGGGATCCTTGTCAACCCCACAGAGCTCAAGATCATCTTCTTCTTTATCTTCAGCCTCAAGGTACAGTCATTAATTGGGTAGGCCAGCATGTCAGTAAAAGAAAACCTTTATGACTGAGTTGCCCATGTGACAAATACTGAGAGATATTAACCTACTTCACTTCCACTTGATCAACAATTCTGAAAGCTCTTACATGTAGTTTCTCTACTGGGGTTCCTTCTGCCTCAAGTCTTCACACCCACTTCTGGGAAAAAAGACAGACTATGATTTTAGGGAGTCAATTGAACTTTTGAATTGTTTGGTGTAATAAGACATTGAAATAAACAAACAGATGAGTTTTGTAGGTTTTAGTTTTAAAATTTTGTGGCACAAGCAACAAGCATCATTTGAGCTAACTGATGATGATTAATTAGGATAGTAAGAAAACATATTAAGAAATGGATCAAGTTTCAGTTTAGCCTACCTCCATTGTGATGGATAAACAGCACTAGCAAATCAACTAAGGTTTGTGATGTAAGTAATGACCGTTAAATTTCCAGGTGATCTAATAAGACCAAGCATTTTAAAACCCTCTCAGGCTCAAATTACTTGCAAAGACTGGCTAAGTTGTTGCAAATCTGCAACACCTGCCTGGAGAGGGTTAAAACAATAAGACAAAAAACCTGGCCCTTTTCAGTTTTTCTGAGTTTCTCAAACATAAAATTAGGCTCTTATCCTTGACACAGCATGTTTATCTGGGGAATGTGGTTAAATTGTGCTTTATATGTCTACACAGCAGAAATAACCACATTTCAAGTTGGATAAATTGGCAGGAAGATCATCTAAAGTAAAATCTTAAATTGGAAAACTCAAGGCTGTTTCCCAAAACATTTCTGTCACAAACTTGGGAAGATGAGCCACCCTAGAGCTCTTTCCACCAGTTCATAAGTCACAAGTGGGAACCTCATTATCCAGCACAGCTGTACATTTTCAAAAAATTACCACAAAGGCAGTACGAGACAACGGGGGGTTTGGTGCAGTAGCAATGTCAACAGTATGCATTAAATCTGCTTTGGGAGTTTCTCCACACTATTCTTTTCAAATCAATAATAGTGAAAAAACTTAGTGTAGCAACTCTGTTGCTACACTAAGTTTTTATCTTATCTTCTTACTCTTCTTCTTGTAAATAATTTTGTGATAAATTGTAATATCCTTCTAAATCTGGTTATTCTTGGTGGTCGACCAATCCGCACATCAATTTTATATCAATCACTAAACCTGAATATCCAGCTTACCCTTTTGCAAGTCAGATTTGTTTGCATTGACCTTTAGAATGCTCTGGGAGAGGTGCAATCCACAATTTTAGCTCGAAATCAACCTCCTTTTCATTAGAAGAATTTTTGCACTTTCCTCACTTCAGCATGATGCTGTCTTTGAACGTCAAGCCAACACACCTCAATGTAGCTTAGTGAAATTCCTTACAATTGACATTGAATCAAGTGTCACTATGAAATGTGTTACTTGATTTACCAGTAACTATCAATCAATGGTGATGTCATATTGAACAGAATGTAGACATTTCAAAATGAATAAATTCATGTTCATGAGAGCAAGAACATGATATTTTAATGACATTAAGAAGTTTGTGCTTTTCTGCCATACAATGACAAACAATTTGATAGGAGTTTCATATGAATACTTTCAAAAAGCCTGCCAAATATTGTGGAACAATTTCACAAATGTTAATCCACTTAAAGTTGTTTTTTTCCAGCCCAAAAGAAGCAACTGGGAGGTTGCTTCTTTTTAAACACCACTGCTGGCCTGAGTACTTTCCATTCCCATTCAATGTCTTCTTCATTTAGGACACTTAGCAGAATGTCAACAACACACGGAAAATACTGTGTTGACGTATTACCAAATTTTCCTCTTCAAGTCACGTAATGTGACAAAATAAATGAAAAATATATACATTTTTAAAATCAAAGCATGTTTTTGTCTACACCAAAACAAAAATAATGCAGACATCAGGCTACAAATTTAACCCCAAAAACAAATGAACTATGATATTATACCTCAGTTTTTGCAGTAGAACTAACTTATTTTTTTCCCTTCAGAAGTGTGCGATCCTGGAAAACGTCTCACGGCCCACATCGGGTTTTTGTCCCCCACTCACCCATGGACTTGCAACTGGGCCATCGGGTTAGAATCATGCTGCCATCTGGCCGGATCAGCACAGGAACAGTTCGTTTCTTGGGGAACCTGCAGGGGGAGCCAGAGCTCCACCTTGGTGTGGAGCTGCAGAGCCATGACGCATCACTGTGTGACGGCAGTCATAATGGACATACCTACTTTGAATGGTAACCAATATCAATTTCCCCATAAATTGATACCATGAGGATATGTTTTGTGTATCTTTAAGTGCAACACTGCAATTCTGTTTTGAATATGCTTTGGTTTATTTGACAGTTAGTGTTCTATTGTTTCCTGGTAGTAAAACAAAAATAGTTAGTGAAAAATAGTACCTTCACACACCTTCTTTTTCCCAACTTGCTGTTAGCAGTCTTAAAGCCTGCTGAGCAGGTTCAGACTACAGCGTTTAAAAGGTGAGGCATGGGCATGTCTGATTTGAGTGATAAGAAAACAAAAAGGTATCTCTGAAGGTATTTTCTCTATGACTAAACAGAAGTAGCTCAACATATATGCAAAAGGTTAAACATGTGTAAGCGAGGTTGTCATGTGTTTTTGCTTTTGAAACTAGTACATTTCCTGTCATGTATCTAAATGTAATTTCATTTTTTTTGGCAGCAAACCGGGACATGGTGCCTTTGTGCCATTCCACAAGTTGTTGATGGCCTGGGAATAAAAGAATCCTGTGGACCAGGCAGAACATTAGACAGTATAGTAAACCTGCTATATGAAGAAAATTCATGTAATAAATAATACATAATATCTCTCTCAAATTACCAAGTATGACTTATACCCCATGTATGACAGCTAATGTGTGACTTTTGGTGTATCAAAGAACAGACATGACAGCAATGATTTTTTTATGTAGAGCAACTTTTTTAAAGAAATAAAGTTTCAAGCCAACATGTACAGTGTCCCCTGAGGTACAAGGAGGGATTTGAAAGGTTGAGATCAAAATAAAATGTCAATATAACAAGTCATTTCTCTTTTTTTCTACAAATAAATATGTCTTAGAGATTATCTGCAAAGCAAGCAACAAAATAAAAACAACTTTACCAAAAAGAGTCTGTAATGTCATGCTGAGAGTCCTATATTTAATGACAGCTCAGAATAGCATATTGTTGGTAATTCACATCTAGGTCACATTTTCTTTCTTCATGTCTTGTTTTGACTCTAAGTAAAGTACATGAGAAAAGCATTAGTTGCAAAGAATACTTCTGAAAATTACATTACTATGTTAACTACTTTTGGTCAATGTTGTGTGCTGGTAAGGTTATAAGTAATATAATTAGTAAATACCTTGAATGCAGTAGATAGCAATCTTATAATCTGCAATCTTCCTTAGTTTATTTTAGAGCCAGAGGTAAAGCGCTTCAGGGCGAAAATTAAATCCTAACAAAATACACTTCGAACAAACCTCCCATGACTCATGTTTTGTAACCTGTAGGTGTTAGGTATTTTGATAGAGTAACTATCTTTTATAAATGTAATGTGCAGTGAAATGGGCAGTAAAAACATTTTTGTCAGAACAATATAAAGCTGTTTTTTTAATTTTACCATTCTTTCATTGGCATCAGATACTTCCTGACTGGATAACATTTAGTTTAAAGCTTGGGGTTGTTTAAAAATATTAATGACCTGCTCTATCAATAAATGAGCTAAAGCTAGTGTGCATTTTTTAAAGTTGACGAAGTCAAGAAAATGTTCTCTAACCAATCAAGAGAACTACACTTTAAGAAAATCTGATCTATGCCTGTAATTCTGTACATCAACTCATGGTAAAATTCTATGTAGTTACAATAATTTATCCATTGCTAAAATAAAAGGTTAAGTACTGACTCCAGGCTGAACCAGTCTAATATTAATGATTCCAATTTTGCTAAATAAAAAGACAGTCCCAAGTTTAACATGTTAAATATTATTAAAAGTTAAATATTATGGATTATTAAATTTGATTATTAATTCTGATGAATTTCTAAATTTACAAAATGACATCAGGATATACTTTAACATGCTGACAAACACATGAAACATAACACTTTAAAAGTCTCTAAAGCATTTACATTTTGAAAATTAAGGGCATTGCTGGCATGACATATGAGACCACTGTGGCTCAATCTAAGTCCAGAAAGATTAATTTCAAGGAAATTGTTGAAAGCAATTACATGTAGTTTAAAGGTGAGATTTGTATCAGCTTGTTTGCCTTACTCTTTTTTTCAAGACAATCACAATCACTATTTTAAATGTATGTTTGAGAGGACTCATTTACAATTTTTTTTTTCTATCTTTATTAAAATATTCACTTAAAAACATGCATAATTTACATTGTTGCCAATATGTATTTCATGGAAATGATGCACATTTACAGGAAAGGGAAAAGCACACTTGGGAAATTCCTTTAATTCAGGTGAAGTGTCTTTAAATAGTCACCTGTTTAGCTTCCTTGTGAGATCAGCCAAATCAAAGATAATACTGAAAGAGCAGACTTACAGGGAACTACAGTAAAAGCAAAAGCATAAAACATTAAATACAGCATGAGAACTTAAAACAATATTTGACACAATATGCATCAACAGTCAAAACTCCTGGAACTCAGTTATCTTTGGTCTAGAGTCACATTCCATCCAAAATGTAAATGGCAAAGTTATATTTGACAACAATGTCATACATATAATACAACAATAGCTCAATTTCCATAAATATGTCAATAGCATATTAGAAAGCAGATAGAATGAGGCATTGCTGCAATATCTTTTATGTTAGTTCCCAGAAAAACATTTTTTAATACTCTGAGTGACACACGGCTGCAACTACTTATTATTTTGGTATGAGATTAATGTATTTATGGTTTTTCTATTTTAGTTAATTAACTTAATCCATCTCTGTAGGCGTTCATCAGTTCTCAGTATCAGTATGTGTCCAGGGTTTTACGTCATTATGATGTGAAACCCTAGTGGTTCAAATCAATCAATGTGTTTCTGTGTTTAACCCTGATACACCTCAATGTGATGGTTTTATTGATCAAGAACTAACACAACTATAATGTATTGTTGCTATAAAAAACATTGATGTGGTTCTATGTGGGCATGATGACACAAAAATTTCATAACACATTATTTTTCTGTTAGCTTTGCTGCAGCCCTCACTGAAATTGTCCTAAATATTTTGATACTCCAGATCAAAGAGCACAGAACCATGATCAGAATACCGTCCCCTGAGCTTTCATGTTCAGTATTTCTGCAGCCAAAACTTCAGCATCCATCAGGTGCGGGAACATCTCCATGACTCTATCCACTTGGTTTGGGTTGAAGATGGCATGTAGTTTCTTGCGCATTTCTGACCTTTTTTGCTGGAAAGCAGCAGGAGCTGGAGTCAGTGGTGGTCGTTGTTGCTGGCCCCAGGTTTGGTACTGGTGATTCTCATAGGAGCAACAGGAGCTGTGGCAGTGTGAAGGATAAGCCAAGGAGGGTGCGGGGCATGAGGATCTGGTTGGCGGCACACCCTGAAAGGGATCTGACCAGTAATTATGATGGAGTTGGTGGGTGGCAGTGTTATGGAAATGGGCAGGCAGGCTCCGTTGCTGATGTACACCGTGTGGGAACATATTTGGATTGTAGGTGTCATAGATAGGTTGACTGGAGCAGTCGATGTTGCTGTGATGCTGCTGATGAGGATAGGAATGGCATTTGCCACAGTGACTGGTATTACAGTTCTCCATGTGAACTGGGGAACGTTGGAGCCCGGGGAGGGTGCTTTGATGCTGAGAACCACGTCTGTGGGTGCTGCTACGGGATGGTGGCAAGTCGGAATAGTAACTCTCTGTCGAACCAAAACCGGAATCAAAATATTCCCGAGACATATTGGGATAATAATGATTCGGTATGTAGTGTGAGGTGGGATATTCTTCTTGACACTTTCCTCCAGTTGCTGAAGACTGCATTTGGTTGGGGCTTTTTCTGAAGTTTTCCCAGAGCAGTAGTTTATTTTCACTAATGTGACCAGAAACTGAGGAAATCTGCTGATCCCAAGGGAGATGTGTGTGTCGAGGAGGTGAAGGCTCAGCTTCAGATTGAGGATAATTGACAGATGACCTTGCCTTTCTCTCTTCTTTTACAAAAGAAATTTGTGCTTTCTCTCTCAGTTCATCAGCCAAGGACAGATAGGAGTGGTTTGCCCGCTCAGGATGGTAGTACTTGCACTTGATGCCATAAGTGCACTTTTTATCTGAAAGACAATGCATATAAAAACACAATCTAACCAGATCAGATTATATTCGAAGCCATCAGCCTCACAGTAGACATAATTTATGACTTATAGATTGTTGCTGTTTTACCATTTTATTCTAAATTATATATAGGATTTATTTATCTTATTCATAAAAATTGTACTTTTATGAATAAAATGAATAAGGTGCTTCTTCATCAAAGCAAAATAAATTTGAAACCCCTGCCTAATTATCCAGTTGTGTTTTCATTGTTTGTCTAAATTTGAAAGTGAAAACACTAACCAAGGGATTCCTTTATGAAATAAAATATCTGTTCTCTGAGGCAGTAATTGCTCACCATATGGACAGGGCAGTTTTTTCTGCTCAACAGGCAGGGGGGTTTTCCGGAGAAAGTTGTCGAGGTTAGGTCCATGTCGACCTAAAGGATCATCTGGAGGCATGAACCTGTAAAAAGAGACACGGATAAAGACAAAGCTACTTCAAAGAAAATCCTTCACAAAACTTCAGTAAGCGAGACGGTGTGACTCTAATACAGCAGCAGTCCTTTATTAAACTGTGGTACTGTAAAAAAGAAGTGGGATGTTCTCCTTACTTGTCATTCACAAATGAGTACATGAGGAGCCTCTCCTCAATGCATTTCTTCCACTCAGGTTTTTGTCCTTGAAGATCACGGTAAGTGTCGTTGGACACAATTATGCCATCTGAATCATGCGCCAGTTTGACAATGAAGCGGTCATCATAACAAACCACTCGCTTGCCACCAACCCGGCGGGAAGGGGTGAAGGCCACTATTTTCCGTTTTTCAAGCTCCAACAGAATATGTTGATCTGAAAAAAGCAAAGGTAACAAGTCAGTCACAAGTGTTTTTAGTCCTTTTTACAGTATTTGGTCAGCATTTTACATTTCTTTACTCAGATTTTAAAACATGAATTAGGTGTGTATTTATTGTATATTCTTGTCCACAGTGTCTAAATTATACAGATAGACTCAGGTAGAAACTGCAGCTAATATTACTGTCAGTGTAATCCTACTCTTTAAGTTATGTCTTAAAGTTGTGGTATCAAACCAACTAATTTAAATGAATCCAAGCATTTTTTGAAATACGCTGAAATATAAAGATGCCAGAGACATAATGGGTAAATACTTTGTGTGTGCAGTCTCTCTGCAACTTGCTAAGAACGATTAAACCTAGTGTTAGAAGAGTGAATGTATAGATTTGAGCCCATTTGTATTTTTGGCCTTGTGCTGATTAAAGACAAATACGCATTGAATTTTAAAAACCATGTTATTGTTTTAAAAATTCATGGAAGAGGCTGCCACTAAAACACAGCTTTAAAAATGCAATAAGCATTCAACAAATGTGCAGTGGTTTACAGAAACCAAATGCTAACTGGTAAAGAATATTTCATAACCAAAACTAACATAGTTCCCACAATTCCCATAATATATTGTATTATTGACTCCAACAATAGGCAAATTAAACATTAATGCAATCACAGAAACTGATTAAACAAGGCAGAAAGTCAAGTGATATTATCAGTGAATTTAACCAATGAACCAGAAAACTGGTTGAGTAATGTTTAGCCAATTGGCACTTTTTTATGCAGGTGTTTTTATAGATACAGATGACTGTTTTCACTTGACCTATTGCTGTGGATGGCTGTTAATACTCTATAAACAAAGTAGGTGTGGAGGAAAAAGAAAACACATAAAGTTTCTGATGGGACTTTCCCAGGGTGGCTGTGGGCTTATTTTTAACTTCCTTATTCGTAGACTGAAATAGAACCTTTGGATTGCTCCACCCTAGATGAGCAGATACCAAAATCACAAGAACCTTAAAGTGAAGCAACGTCGTAAAGAAGCTTAATCAGTTTCATGGAATCAAAGACATCAAAATTCAGCTAGATTATGTCACCAGTACAGATTTGTGACATAAAAGCTTGTGAGTCGATAATTAGATTTTATATGTAGTTGAACTATGTAACAAATGATCCTAAGAGTAAGCAACATTGGTTTTTACCAAGTCTGTCTTTTTAGCTTATTATTACATAAGACAGTCTTGTCTCATAGCATGTCACATTAGTGATGTGAAACTGTATCTCTAGTATATTGATAAAGAATGATGCAATGCCTATAGCTACAATAAAAGAACAGACTGAAGTGGAAGTCATATTCAAATAGCAAGGTAAACACAACCCGATTTTACCACACCTCCTATTTCTTTCCCATTAGTTTTTGTTGCCTTTTGCTGCATTCTGTGCTTTGCTTGTCTGGAGAAATGTTGTATTTATTTTTTTAAACTGACAACTGAAGACAATGACCTGTTATTTTTTTTTCTCTCTCTCCACATCTCACACAATCCCACTGAGCAAAAAAGCTTGTTAAAACATGTTGAGGCCCAAACTCTAAGGCTAAAGTGAAAAAATCCTAAACTGAACCACACAGAAAAAAAAAAAAAAAACTTTCATTCAATTTTTTGTAATCTTTCTACTACAATCTATTTTGATTGTAGTAGAAAATGTAATGTCACACAAAATAAATTGGATGGATAATTTAGATTATATGTAGATTATTATATGTACTAGAAAGAGATTATGTCTTCTTTGCTTTGCTAAGACATAATGACTAATAGCTGCTGAAGAATATCTCAAGGGTTAAAAATGGAACCATTATAATAGCTAACAACTACAGGCTTCAGCGATTCCTAGGTGTTAGAGAAGGGTTAATGAACTCTGGTCTTCCTGACGGGAACCAGCTGCCTGTCCTCACCTGTTATAGGAGCATCAGCTCGGGGCAACTCTTTACGCCAAGAGGGAACAAACACAGTGATGTTATTATGACCTCTGTCCAGGAAGAAATTCACTGCCAACTCTATGCCCCTGCATGAGAACACTTCCTTGTTGCCATGACTGTAAAAGAAAATAACAGAAAGGGTGTGAAAGAGAGGATCAGTTAAAATGTTTTCAATGGAAATAAACTTGAAGGAAGTAGTTAAGATTCAGTTGATTCTTGTCAAAACAGCATGCCTTTGAATGATCTCACTAAAAGAGCTTGTGTGCTATTCCTTCCTTATTCATTCAGGATAATATGCATTATGTTTCAGGGGTGGGGCTCTTGAATTTGCATGTTGTAACAGTGGATTTTTGCCTAAACAAGCTCAGGCAGTGTGGTTACGTACCCATTAAAATATCAAGTTAAGAACATGTGAAAAAGTCAGAGCTGAATTATTCATAGAAATAACTGATAAATATTTAAATTTATTTCTTTCAAGTGTGATTTGTAGTCCTCAGATGTAAAAGGTAAAGTATTATCTTTACAATGGAAATCATTTCTGTAATGGTCTAAACTCACCTGTCACTCTATCAGCCAATTTCATATCATTATCTCAATGTATTCCTAACCCAGATATCTTAAACAATTCCATTTTGTAACACCAGTTGATTAAAAACGTTTTTTAGTCTTTGTCTTAAATGCATTCATTTTAATTTGTATTTCTTTGTCTTTGTTGTTTGTTCTCTTTGCTAATTTACATGGTTATTTTGCTGAGCAGTACCTCTGTTTGGTAGTCTGTACTGTTTTTGAAGTTCAAACTAAAAAAAAAGATTTTTATTACCTCATAGCAACATTGCTGCCGTCAATAACAATATGTCTTAGCTCCGAGTCTGCACTTTTTTGCTCCCCGAGTTGTGGCATGATTCTGCAGGTTCCAACATCCCAACTGGGAGGCAGCAGCAGGTCTTTCAGATCTGTGCTCCTCTCATCGCTGTTGGAAGAACAGGGTGATGTGTTGGTGGTTCTGTTTCTCACAAGCTCCTCGAGCATTGCGTTAGTGTCTGTGCTTAGTCCCAGCTTTCTCAGAGCGACTTTCACCTCTTCTGTGGAGTACCCCAGTTTTCTGAAGAAATCCTGTTTAAGCCGGAGTTCCTCACTTTTTGTCTCCAGCAGATCTGAGTCAAAAACATCACTGGAAAGTGCCGGGTCCATCCTGAAGCCCCTGAACTCCGTTTTAGCAATGTGTAAGGCAAGGTCCTGCTCCTTCAGTGTGATATTCTTCAACTGACTGATGGAGAAAGATTAATTTTATTAGCACAATGTATAAAGATTAAAACAACAAACTAAATATTCGGAAAGTTTGGAGTCATTTGTTTCAGTTTTTACTAAGGCGTGATAACATCAACACCAAAACACCACAAAATCAAATATTAGACATTTTAATATTCCCACAGTTTTACTACAGTATTGATTATAAACTCTTAAAATAAAAGCTAATTAATTCATTGTAAATTCACATTGAATCTACTTGTAAATAGCCTGTACCTAGCAGAGACGACTGATGCCAGGTTCTAAAAGAGATTAAACCTTTGATTAGCGCAAATTCCATACATTGTCTTGCAATGTAATTTTTTGCAAAAAGCATATGTCAATGCTGTTTTTGAGAGAATATATATACAGCTGAGTACTGAGTAACTGATTAATATTAATTATACCATATAATTAAACACTTTAAAATGATGTCATTAGATAAAAAATATAAAGTTTTGAGCAAATTCTGGTAGTTTAAATTCCAAAAAAGCAAGCAACAACAAAACATAGATAACATAATTACAAAACAACAAATGTGGCCAGGAGAAACATTTTTTTCAAACCTTTATTCAATATAAAACTTATGAAACTAGGTAGTCAATATATGTTAAAACAGGACAAAGTGCTTCTAGTGACAGTAGTGTTAACCGTATTTAAATGTATTTACTCGTGACAGATCAGATTCAACAGACAGAAAACAACCTTGAAAGAACAGCTTTTTCGTACAAAAAAAAGTTGATTTTCTTGAAAACTGTGTTTGTTTCTAGTGGACTTCTGGTTAAGTGATTCCAGTGAAGTATAATATAAGTAAAACTAAAAAGTAGGCATACAAGTTTTTGTCTTCAAAAAGCTACTCAAGTACATTTAATTCAGTAAATACAGTTAAGTGGCAGTATTTTCTGTTACTGGTGATATTTGCCTTCTGATTTGATCAACGGGATTTTATACAAAACAGTAGGCTATCCTGTGGTTCCTCTGGCACAACGTATCAACATGACATTCTACCCTGTTTGAATGAAAAGCTAATATTTGAAGCCAGGTATTTGGATTTGTGCAACAAAGGCCCCTTTTCAAAGGCTTTTATTGGGCGTGTGTACCTTTACCAAACACAGGAGACAACACGGGAGATTTCAGCCGTTCATATACATAGAGGTGAACTAGTACTGGCAGTGAAAATGGAAAACAGCCTCTTACCTGCTTTGGTTGTTTCTGTGTGTCTTCGTACTCCATTTACGAACAGATTAAAGTAAATCCTGCTGCTAGTCCAAGTACAGTGAAGTTTAACACTTTTCATAGCAACGCCCACTTCGTTTTTTTTTTTTTTTCTTCTCTTCTAAACTGAGGCATGCAAAGCCAGGAAGTATTTGCATAGTAGACAGAAACGAAGACTTCCCCTTTCCTCCCACCTTCCAGCTACATTTAGATTTTTTTTTTCCAGGAAGTTTTTTGTCATGATGTTTCCCCCCAGGTAATTCATTGACCAGGTCTATAGAAAAATAGACCTTTGCTTCTGCAAATTCATGTAGTTAAACACAAAACAACATATTCCAACTGAAGAACAATCTAGTTGGAAAATCTTCAACAACAATAACAAAAACAACATCAACAACAAAACAATGCTACTACTACTACTACTACTACTACTACTACTACTACTACTACTACTAATAATAATAATAATTATAATAATAATAAAGCTATTATCATGAAGGTTATTATATTGGCAACTGGCCCTGATTATTATCTTATCTTGTCCTGTCAGAATCAGATTGTACCATGAAGTTTATGGATGAACTGTGTCACCTAGTGGTTGAAACTCGCCACAACAACCCGTGCACAGCAAAATGAACAGTAAGCTCTTATAGGAAATATTTCAAAATACACACACTGCTCTAATGTAAATGAAGTATAAAATACATTAATATGCAACTTTACTCTTTTTCATCATTTATATTTGCCTGTAGTCATTTTATCTCTATTAATAATTTATACATTACAGTGTGTGCTTCACTCTGGTAAAAGTTATGTTTTACATTTACATTTTTACAAACTAATAATAATCACTCATTTTAAAATGTATGTACCTGACTGAATTTTGCATTGTATAAGATATTACTGTTAAAGTTTACTCAAAATAATTTTAAAACTTTACTTTGGTTCATTAAAATTAGATTTTGCAATTTGTCAGTGGCCTTTGATTGATAATTGATTTTATACATCAATAATACATTTCAACTTCCGTTGAGGTAAAATAACAGCATCAATAAAGACACAACACTGTTAAAATTTAAAATGACAAATTTGAAAATAGAGGATTAATTAAATAAAGTCTAAAAGAGAAGGCAATTTACTCATATTAATTATTGCAGTAGCAGTAGTTGCTGTTACTGGATATTGCTTTAACAGCTCATATTCTTCTATTATATTAATTGCCCAGCAGATGCCAGCCTTGCTTCATAGCATCACGCCACAATTCTCTATGCTCTTGCTTTTAAAACAATAAACAGTGCTTGCCTGCAAGCAGCTCAGTATCTCGAACACTGATGGATAAATTGTGAAGTGTTCTGCACTGTGTGTGAGTCTGTGTTCTGTAAACCAGCCTTTGTGTGCAGGGTTAATGGCATGGTTGAGTTGGACTCGCACTGCGTGGAGCTGGTTAATGGCACACACTGAGTTGAGTTCCGGAGAGTGGAGAAAGTAATCAGGGGCAGTTGCCAGGCTGTTGCCTTCTCTGAGGCCTCAAACTGCTGGTCCCAGGTGTCTGCGAGGCCTGATATTACCACGGGGCAATGAGCTGAAGACAGGAGCCATGAATTGGAGCTTGCACAAATACATGCTCAAACAGATGTGTTTCCATCACCTCAAGAGGAAAAACAACTCTGACTTGCATTCTTTACCTGAAGGCCTGACCTAATCATAACCCCTCAGAGCCTAATTCTAACCTTAAACAAATTTACACAACAATACAGCCTAGAGTGAATAAAATAATATAATAGATAAATGCTGTGCTTTAAGGAAATTAATCACACATGGTCATACATGTGGGAGACCTTCCAACAACATTACAGTATCAAGAAACATCTGTTCTGTGACATTTGGCGGGAAGGACACTTGTTTACCATTTCATTGAATTCAATCTCTAAAAGCATTGCGTAGATGTGGCTGAGTGCATTGTTTTGTAATTTATGTCTAGATTACATTGGGAAGCATTATTGGCATCAGAAAAACTATTGTCCAGAAATGCAAATCTTGAACCTTGCTCTGAGTCCAACAGCCCAAAATTGGATGACCTATGCACAGACTGGGCTTTGTGAACATTAAACACTTTTTTCCTGAACATCTTGAGGGAAGCAATGCCCTGCTCAAATGCATATCTTTTCCTCCCAGGCAGGTGTTGTTTGGCAAGGCTTGTTAAACCTGAGACCGTTGATCAAATATTCAGCCAGACTCATTGTGCTGCTGAGAGCTTTTGGATGTAGCTGGGATAACGCCATGGAGATAAAAAAAAAGCAGCTTTGTAGTTTCTCAGAGATGGAGTCTCTTTGCTTTTCCTTTTAAAGCCTGCCCAGGTCAGTCGTCTGTCAGAAAAATTAATTTTGGTATGATTTCTTTAAAAAGATCTAAAGTAGAAAAAGCCAGCCTTTAACTGAAGTAATCCATCTTGTACCAATAGTGTCAGAGTGATTCACGGTTTCCAATTTAGCCGCAGTTTGAATCTAAAGTATATCAGGCAGGACGGCTCTACTCTTTGTGCTGCCGGACGACAAACTCTCAGTGACAAGACCTTTCAAATGAACACATCCCCCACATTCATCTTACTCATTTATTACCAAAGACAGCTGGTTACTTGTCCTACATAGAACTGCGAGTAAAGAGCTCCTGTCTTTGTGTATAAATGTAGAAAAAGTGAGGCTTTTCCTCTGACTAGGTGGCGACAATGCTGAAGGAAAATTGGAAAAAAGAGCAATAGATCTGAGAGGGCTGAGGCTTTGACTCTAGGATTAATTTGATTTGCTTTGATTAGTGACAACTAAATTCCCAGAGCAGCATGGGAGCAGACAATTGCAGAGAAGTTGCTTAATGGACAACTGCCAAGAGGAGGATGGAAAGTATTAGATTAATTTCAAGTTTATAAATTAGTTGAACTTTTCTTTTTTGAAGTTTGTTAACAATGTAGTTGGTTAATAATTAACTATTCTGTTGAGCCAGAGGTGCCTAACGTCGGTTCTCGAGAGCCGGCATCCTGCGCGGTTCAGTTTTCTCCATGGTTTAATGCACCAGGATCAAATGATGGCTCTTTTGAGGCCAAAGAAGAACACTGACATGCTGAAAAAGTCGTTACTACCACCAGGGAGAGAACAAAAACATGCAGGATACCAGCCATTGAGGACAGACTTGTAAAGCCATCTTTCTACAAAATTGGTCTCAGAATTCATAGAGAGGATTTGTTGACTTTATTTAGTTATATTTTATACAGCTAGTTGTTATCATGTCAGCTCAAATCCATTTTTAACATTTTACAGGAAAAACATAAAAATAAGAAGTAATACTCTGGTCAGTGTAAAGGACAAAGTTACAAAAATCACGTAAAATAATACTTTATTTAACTGCAGGTGAATGTTGTTAGGAATAAAAAGTTGCATATAAAGACAATGCATTATAAAGTTGTTTTTGTCCCCCAATGGATACTATATTGAAATCCCACTTGTGGTGCCTTGAAAGAAATATTGAAATTCTTTGAACTTTAAATGTAACAAACTGTAACTTTTGGGCCTGTGTGTAAAACACTGTGTGTGGCAGAAAGCTAACACTGCCCACAACTCTAAAAAGTACTATTCCTATAGCATAACCCGGTGGTGCAGCGTCATGGTGTGTGTGGACGACGTTTTTTGTTTGTGACACACACATCGGAAAAAGTATAGGGGAAAATGGAAGGACTATAAGAGGTAGCAAAATACTTCAGGCTGGTACAGGAGTTCACCGTTCACCAGGATAATGACTATTGAGTACTGACATGCAATCATATTGATAACAGAAGATTTCATATCAAAGCATGTTTTACTGGAGAACATGTGGCAAGACTTGACAATTTTTAGTCACAGATATTCAACATCCAAACTGAAACAGCATGGGATGCTTTATGCAAGACCTTTGCATATATTTTAAAACATATGCAAAGGTGGTTTGACGTTTGGCTTTTTATGCATTTGATCAATTCTAAAAGTGAAATAATACATAGCAGCTTTGCACATTGAAATAATTTGGTTAAGCAATATTTAAGCACACAGCTGTGATATGGAGGACCACAGACATGTAATTGTGTGTCTAGAGCACATGATTGCTTTAGACACATGATTGTGTCTAGTTAAAGAAAACTGCGTAATTCAAATGTGAAACAATTATGTTTCATATTTGAATTATGCTTACATAGAAAAATCAAGCTGCAAAGATGTCAGTTCTTTATTCACTGCTCCCTTGATTTGCTGTGGCAGACATTTACTCAGGACTTGATGCACTGTATATTCTGAAACATGAACCTGTAGAAAAAAGTATTTCTTGACAAACTTTCTGAAAACAATATGAAAAATAAATAAAACAGTGTGTGTATATTTCCTCCAGAAAATTCAGTAAATCATATTATGGCTGAAAAAGTAATTTTCAGATTGAATCTTGTTTCTAAGATATTTTCTTACCCAACAAAAATTACATTGTTTGGTCAGGCGAGAACTTCTAACCAGATTAAAAAGTTGTTGCCTTCAAGATGTTTGAGTATCTTCTTTAGCTTGTTTCATCTGCCTCCTAGTGGTACAAATCAGTTATGGCAGGTTATTAATGAAATTAACCTAGGTTTCTTTTCATTAATTTCCTGTCTTATCAGAAAATTACACGAAGCAAAGCACACATTTTGTTATGGAGATAGCTATGGCAATTTGCACAAATAAATGAAGAGAATTTTAGCAGGTTTCCCCAGAGACAATATGTGTTTTATAACAAAACCCTAAAAGCCATGCAAATGCACATTTCTCCACTTGAGATAAATATGCTCCAGGCAGCCATAGATCATTTAAAGATAATTTTGGATATGTGTTCCCGATCCCAGTGCAACTGAGGCCTGTGCAGGTGTAACCTCAGCATGAAACCTCATCCAGGAGCACCGGCAAATGTTCTGATTAATTGTTCCTGTCAGTTCAGGTCATTTAGTCCTGTGTGATACTCTGTGTATTACTCATATCTGGTCCAACAAAATGCATGAGCTCTCGCTGATGCATGTGATTACACAAGCAAACAAAG